AATCAAAATGATTTTTTAAAAGATTAAATCAAAAAAATTTTTATGTTTAGTTTTAATTTATTTTGATCATTCTTATAAAATATTGTTAAAGTTCAAATTATCTGATTTTTTAAAATGAATATATAAAGATTGAAAAAATATATTACTGGTCTAAAAATTGATTAAGGAAATCTTTTATTGTATTAAATGAAAACATTACTCTCTTAATTAATCATATCAGTAATGTAAATATAAATATTTAAAGAAGATATTAAATATTTGCATATTTTTCATTTTTAAGTAATTTATCAATATATTATAAATGAAAAACAAGTAAATTTTGCTCTAAATTACCCATTTTAATTATATTTACACAATATTTTAAATAGAAAAAATATAATTAAAAATAAGACGGGTTAGTTTGCTAAATTTATTCAATTTTTAAGATAAAATTCTTGTTTTTACATCTAAAACTATTCTTTTTAATGTCATTGCAAACTTAAATAGTTTAAATCAAATTAGATGATTAAATAAGCTAAAGTAAAACTGTAGATAAAAATTTCTTAAAACTTTTAAGTGTGTTAATAATCATTGACTTGCAAAAAATAATTTGTTTTATGTTTAAATTTTACAAAATGGTCTAATTTCACTTTTAAACACCAACGTATAACTTTTAATCAGTAATACCGTTTATTAAAATAAGTTTGTTATGTGCTAAATTATGATAGAACCACTTATACGTTTCAAGGTAAAAATTATTGTATATGTTAAAAGGTTAAAAATATTGTATTATTTTAAAAACAATTTATTTTTTCTTTACATATAAGCACCTGTTACTTAAAAATAACTTAAAACTATTTTAATCACTTTAAAACACCTTTTTATATCAAATTTTGTGTAATTTATTAAACCAATATGTGGTTAAAGTCTTTTATCTTTTTTAAGATTTCTTAATAACGGTTTTCCAATAATCACATAATCAACTAAAAGTGCTAAATTAAGAAAATTTTTATAATTTAAAAAAAAATAATATTAAAATACTTATCTGAATTTAGTTATTATTTATACTAATCCTTAATCTTTTTTTAACTTTATTAATAAAAATATGACTGTTAAATAAAACAAAGTTTTAAAGATATCTTAAACTAATTAATTAATCAATTTAGCTATTTAAATCGATTTTTTATATATTTGATTTCATCGTAGAAAAATAAATTTATAAAAGTTTAAATTAAATCTTTTAAAAGTATTTTAAAGAAATTTTTAACTTATGATTTATAGGTATAGTAGTGTAATAGAATCATTTGTTTAAAATTTTGTTAAAAATTTTTTAGATTTACATTTAATAAAAGGTATTTTAAAAAGGTATGTTAAGTGTAGAACAAATCTTTAAAAAATGGAAACAAAGTCATGCATAAAATAATGAAAGAATGACTTTCTTGTATTGTAGTAAAAAAATATAAAAATTTCATTAAGTATGTATCAATACGCACCTATTCACTTCTATTATGTTTTGATTTACCTATGAGAAACATAATATTAATACATTGTAAATAATTTTATAACCATACTCACGTACAAATAGATACCGAAAAAATTAAAAAAATACATCGTTAATATCAATGAATCTAAGTATTGAATAATCAAAAATTGAAATATTAAACCTATAAATTTTATACGCGATTTTATAATGAGTTTAAATCATAAATTCAATAAAGTTATTATTTATAAGATAAAAAATACAAAATATTTAATAAATCTGTAAAAAAATCAAAATGTTTTAAATTTTAAATTAAATAAATAAAATTTAAAAATTTATTTGTTAATTTTATAAAAAGTATTGTATAACAGTTTTTAGTTGTTTAATGAAAAAAATAAAGATATTCTTGTAATTTGTTTCAATCATTTTCAACTTTTTTCACTATGATTGTAAATTTAAATATGTTTGCATCTCATATTTGTAATTAGTATAAAATAATATAGTGTATTATAGCTAAAAAAATAAATGTTTTTTTAATAGTATCTATAATAAATAATTTTAATGATAAAAATTAGTATATTTAACTTAAAAGTTTGAAAAATTTAAAAAAATCAATTTTATTTAACGCTTAGAACCAAAACTTTATAATAAATTTTCATATAAATATTAAAAATGACGTAAATAAATTTGTATTATAAAAAATTCAAAGATTATTAAACAAATTATGAAATAAGTGAGAGCCTAAAGCACACAAATTAGCTTATTCAATGATAAAAAAATTAATTACATACTCTTTCATGTATTATTAAAAATAAAACTTCTTCATTAAAAAAACAATATTTTTATATTGACATTTTAAATAAAAACATTTTAAATTTTTAAAAAAGTTTAACGAGTATATTTTGAAATATAATTCAATCTTTAAACATTATTGTTATTATTTTTTACATAGAAAGAAATAGATTAAACATTTATATTAAATTACTTTAAAATAATTAATTTTAAATCATTCTTTTTTTTATAATTTAAATAATAAATTCAAAAAATTAAATCTCATTTTGATATTATCGGTAGTGTGATACAATATTATTTCTATATAAACAATTTTGATCATAAATTTAAGCTAAATTTTTATATTAATAATTACAAAAAACATCTTAGAGGTAAAAATTTATATAAAGAATTTAATATTTAAATATGATTTGAATCATTTAATATAAAATAAGAATAGATTTATAAAACAATATGTATTTTTAAATGTTTAAGTAATACATATTGAAAATTCTTTTATTGACTTAAAAATAAGTAATTAGAAAATTAAATTATTATATAAAACTACAAAAGACTTAACATTTCTTAAAGTAAACCAAAGAACATAAAGAATAAAATTTGATAAATTAAAATAACTAACTTATAATTTTTTATTTATTTTCTTTTAAAAAAAATATATTTTCTAAACATACTCAAAAAGTCACTTATTAAAACATAATTGATAATTTTATAACTATTAATGATTTATAAAAACAGTTTTGAATTTACTAAAGTTCGAATTTTTAATTTTTAAAACTTAAAATTTTATAATTTATAATTTCTATTGTTTTTGATTAGCTTTTTATCAATTTCAGTTAAATTTATATAATAAATTTTTAAATAAATATATTTTTA